TGAACTTTCTGGTTATCCATTTAGATTTAGTTACTTTTTATTCCTATAGAATAATATAGCCAACCTTAATGTTAACACTTACTCATACTTCAAAATTTACTTAAGGCATTCCTGTCTCTGTCTAGCTCTCCTGAGTACCATACACAGGTGAGGTTAACCCAAATTAATGTCTCCCTTGGAAATGTCCTTATTACAACATATCATAAACATTTTCCCACATCCCTTTCTCTCCCACTAGACTGCAAGTAGTGCAAGAGCAGGGCGTTGACTTGTTCATCTTTGTAAATTCACTGCTGATCACTGCATCTAAAACATTCCAGGCTGTCCTGTAAAAGGGTGGAACTGGTACTAGAAGAAAATCTGTTTCACCAAAACATGTGTTCTTGTATATTGCTTCTCAGATAGAGCTAGAGGGGAAAGAAGCCTAGATCCAGTGGATCTGAAGGGCAGGTTCAATTCTCAACAGCCTCCTCTGGGCAGTAAGAAGGCTTGATATCTTCATGGAAGTATTTGTATTTTTTTTCCTCTTTACAGTCTTCTGTGAGCATGATTATAGACAAATAGCCAAAGATGGCCAAAGATGAGTACAAACCCTTTGAAGGCATGGCTTATCTTTCCAGAGATATTGTCCTTCCTAGATACCACTCTGGGGAAGTGACAGTGATCTTCATCTCTGTCCCAAGACCAGGCATTAAGCAGTCATGACAGAGATTCCCTGCCCAGTATTTCCTGTTCAAGAACAAAATGCCTTTGGAGCAGCCCAGAAAAGATGAAAGTCCAATGCCCAGCTGCAGAGCTGGAAGGGAGCACATAGCAGTGGCCTAGGAGGATCTGTTCCGTGATGCTGCCTTTTCTAGGAAATGTATTGCGTGCTTTGCATGGCTTTCTTGGGGTGGAGGGCTCTAATGTACAAATGTGCGCACACAGCAGTTTCTGAGATGTGGGTTTTCTCTCTTTTTACGGTAACTCAAGGAAAGTCAATGCATTTAGAAACCAGAGTGGTTTTCTTCAGATGTTCAAGTTACATTTTTACTTCCCCAGTGAACTCTCAATCTCCTCATCTAATTGGTCATTAACTTGTGAAAACAAAAAAAGAGAAGGATTATCCTGAATCATTTACCATGAACTTGGACTGAGTGTAAAAAGTTGAAGATAAGTGTAACTGCTAAGAAATCAGAGAGTGGTGGAATTATCATAATATTGCTCCACACAGCTACAACGTTCATAAAATGCAAAGACTGGCTCCATCGTGCATGAAGACCACAAGCACCAATGAATATTTGCAATGAGTTCCATACAATGAGTCCCTGAAACACACTGTACACACTTATGTAATCTCTTATATTCTGTTTTAGGAGAAGGATGAAAATAGTTACAGTTTATAAAGTATCTATTGTATGCTGGTTACTATTCATTCCTTAACAACTATTTACTAAGTGCTTTCCATAAACTGGCAACTATAATGTACAAAGTTGAGTAAGATTTGATTCTTGACCATAAGGAGATCACATTATTCAAACTGAAACTTGGAAAAAATTATTTTGCACTGGAGGTTGCAAGATCAGATGACTCGAGAGTAGAAGAGGGGATGAGGGATGTTCTTGCCAAGAAATGGGATTTACCAGTAGGTTGAGGTGGGGTCCAAGAAACCCAGGGCACTAAGAAATGAAAAAAGCTTGAGACATTCTCCAGCTACTGTGTTTTCTGCAGCATGTTCCACAGAATGCCAATCAGCAGGGTGCTCTGGGTACAAGTGCTCTGTGATCAAATGTGTTTGGGAAACCTTGTATATCATATTATGGAAATTTATTAAAAGACTTGCATGACACAATAAGGACTGTAAGAAGTTTTGTAGGCAACAAAACGAATTACATCTCCTCTCCACCTACCACAATCCAGGGCATTTCAGACTTATCCTACAATATATTATTTTGTCACTTAATATTTATTCATAGTTCATGAATTTGGTATTTTTGTCATCTTATTTTATAAAACACTGAAACAGTTTAACCTGGAACTTAGCACTACCTTAAAAAGGCTTTCAGTAATCAAATATGCATTTCATAATGATAATTATTATTAATCCCATACATATTTACTTGGGGCTATAAATCATTCATTATGGACTTCTTATCACTAACTCTCAAATATATTATGGTGTGTTATGTTGTATTATAAGATATACCATAGGTGCCATATCAACTCATATGATCATATCATGTGTAATGGGATGAAAATATTTATTAACAGCTTGCCACCAACATTCCATTTAGGGAATAAAAAGATCTGGGGAAGTTTCTGGGAGAGAAGATTACACTTAAATATATAGGTCATCAGGCACCAAAGCAGTTTAATCAAGGAATAGATCAATAATTTGGTTTGGAAAGAGAGAGAATGAAGAGCTATGCAGTCCTATTCTGGGACTAGCAAGCCAAATGTTCACTAACAGGGTTTGAGAGAAGTGACTCAACAGCATGGAGATGGAAGAAGACATCAGTGTCTGGAGTCCACTGAGAAGGGGCTGAAAAGAGCCTAGTAATTATCATAGGTTGCATTCTGCTGTCTAGAAGAATGGAGGTGGTGGCAGTCCTGTTTTGCTCTAGGCTAAGCCTGTTCATCCCTCTTCTGCACTTATGCTTCAGGGGCTTGATCATCAGCAGTTTCCAGAGTGACTGTATAGAAGTTCAGATCTGATCACGTTAGTTCCTCCTTTAAAACCATTCAGTGGCTTCCCATTGCATGAGGAATAAAATGTACCCTCTTCCTCCTAGCTTATAAGACCCTTCATGCCCTTCTCTTCTTCAGTTCTTTTCCTTGTGCCATGCTTTCTGCCTGAAATGTTTTCCCTTTCCTACTTTCCTTCCTGGTCCAGTTGACTTCTATTAATCTTTTGTACCTCAGTTAGATGTCACTGCTCCAGTTAAGCATTTCTTGACCTCCCAGACCAAGTTGTGCTATCCATTCTCATTCCATCCTCTCAGTTCTCTTCCTGGTGTTTAATTCTCAAAGGAGAACTCACCCTGCACTGGCATATAGTATGAAAAATCTTGGAGGGAGCCCTTCACCCTGAAAGGGGATGAAGGTGTTCATAACATCCACCAAGATGGCCTTTCTCCCACATTGGAAGAGGGAGTCAACATGTTGGACAAAAACCAGGTATATTGTCAGTCTTTAGAGGTAATTAAAAACTGATATGATTCTCAAAGCCAGTGGTCTTCAAACTGGGGTATATATTCCCTGAAGATTTATAAGTATTTTCTGAGAGCTACGTAAAGAAATTTGGTTTTGGATTATCAACTTCCATATGAACTTTTCTCAAATTGTGCTAACTGATAAAAACCCTACAATTTCTCCTCATTATTTAATAATCTCCCATTTCCCATAAAAAAACACAAAAGACCATATCTTTACTCATTGGGAGTCTCATTACTGTGCATTGGACTAGCATAAAAAGCTTCCAGGACGCCAAAAGGATAATTCAAAACATTAAAAAATATTTTTGAATGTTTTTCTTTCATAACTCAGTTGCAATAATGATTTGAATAACAATGTTTTAAAAAGAAGCTTCCATTTCTATGTAGCTAACTTTGTGAACAAATTTTCTGGGCATTTAATGTTCATAAAAACAAATATAAAAAGAAATAGAATCAATACTGAATCCTCTTTCTTTCATGTGATTTGTCATAATCATCTTCATTAATAGATGAATTTACAATACAATTGAATTATTTCTGCTTCATAAATATTTGTCAAAATTTGTAATGTATGAATCTCACCTTAATCCATGTTTAGTAATAATAATGATATATCCATATAGAAGAAATTCTTTTTAATACTTGAACCATATAGTCCTAGGTTTGAACAAAATTTAAAATTTAAACATCAATTTAAAAGTCAATTTATGTACATATTTTAGCAAATAGGTACAATCAATTAAAGGTTTTATTTTTTTAACTTTAATTTTAAGTTCAAGGATACATATGCAGATTTGTTTCATAGGTAAACTTGTGTCATGAGGATTTATCGTACAGATTATTTTGTCACCTAGGTATTAAGCCTATACCCATTAATTATTTTTCCTGATCCTCTCCACATGCATACATACGCTCATTGAAGCACTATTCACAATAGCAAAGACGTGGAATCAACCTAAATGCCCATCAATGATAGACTGGATAAAGAAATTGTGGTACATATGCACCATTGAATACTATCCAGCCAGAAAATAGAACAATTAAAGGTTTTCAAGCATCAAAATATATTACATGAGCTTAAAATTCTGTGAGGGATGTAAAATATCTGACTGTTACAGGAGAGCTTGCTCATGTTTAAATGGGTGATGGTAGGTATGAAATTACTATGCTTACTATTGATTGCATTTTAAAGAGTAACAGTTTTGTTTAACACTTTCAACATTTGCCATATTAAAAACGATACCCTTTGCCAAGAGGCACCAAACTTTTAGAAGTTATTCTGGCAAACAAGCAAGTGGGAAGTCTAAGAATTACTGCACTCAGCTACTGCTCCTAGAAAACGGGACTGTCAGCCCAGCTCTGCTTCTTGGCAAAGCATGTCACCTAGCACGTGTGGAATATGTGACACCCCAGGAGGGTGGCATATCCTACTCCCAATGCCATGCTTATCAATTGCCTCAGATCATGAACACTCTCATATTGGAGAATCTTCCTTTAGGGCTAGGGTCCTCCAGGTTCTTTCCTTAGGAAAGATTTCTTTACCCAGTCCTGGCGAGATCCAGTGAAATTCCTCTGATAAACATTCTCAGAGCCCCCACACTGTTTCCTCAGCTCACTTATTCTGTTTCATAATTATATATTAAAAAGGCCATGACAAAGTCCAGACCTGCCACTGGAATGTAAGCTCTCTGAGGACAGGGCCTTGCCTATCTTGGTTTATATATTTTTCTTTAGCACCTAGCACAGGGTTTAGAGCTTCATAGAAGCTCAGCATAGAAGCTTTCATAGAAGCTTTAGCATCTAGCACAGGGTTTAGAGCTTCATAGAAGCTCAGTGACTATTTGTTGAATGAATACATGAACTAAATAAAAAGTTCTTCATTAAAACATAAGTACCATGAGAATAACAACACTTTCAGATTATTTTTAGGTCTGTATGTATTATTCATTCATTTATTGTTTGTTTGCTTATTGTCAAGATTAATCTGAAAGATTATGCACTTATCATGTGCTGTGTATTAGCTGTGTAACTTGAACATGCAGGCAGGAAAGAGTTAAAAATTTACTCAGTGGCACTGGGAGCATTAATGGCATTCATCTTTGGATGTCACTATAGCTACAGTGGAGCTGTCTTGCTGTAGAGCCAAGGGAACACCCCTGGGAAGGTGCTGGGTTGTTGGTGACCTAGTGTAAAGGATTCTTCTATGGACAACCCAGAAAACTCTTCTGAATCTAGGAAGGCTTCAGATGACACTTTCCAGACTGACAGACATTGGGGTTGAGAGAAAACCTGGAACTGCCCCAAATTGTGCAAGTACAAATACAAAGAAGGAATAAAGATGAACTGAGAGATAGAAGCTTGTGCAGCAGCAGCAGCAGCAAATATCTATGCTTCTTGGGGTGGTGCTGTCTCTATCTTTGCATAGGGAAGTTGACTAAACAAGAGGGCTCTTTGGAGCACTGATATGCAAGCAAGTCAGCTTGGGTCTCTCCAGACAGAGAAAAGTAACGTAAAACAAAACTATTCAAAAAGAACATGAAGTGAAGTGCTGGTGGCCAGAAGAAAGACATCTGAGTACAAGTGAGTGAAACTAGTGTTTGAACACTGACTCTGCAATTTCCAGCTGTGTAACTTTGACAAATGACTTAACTTCTCTGAGTCTCAGCTTCCTCATTAGTCAAATGGGATTTTGCAATACTCCCTAAATGAGAGAATGAAAGTGTTGGCTTCATAAGAGGTTTTCTGGTAAATATTTGTCAAAACTTTTTTAAGACAGAGATTTCAAGAATGAGCTTACGGCCTGGTGTCTGGATATCTTGATCAGAGATTAGAGAATTGGCTAGCCAAGATGATCTTGGGATCCTACTATGTCATGGATGTGTGTGTAAATGTGTAAGTTTCTGGGTCTAGAACAAGAGTTTACAATCTTGGTACTATTGACATATTGGGCTAGAAAACTTTTTGTAGTGGGTGATAAAGTGGGATGTATTGCAAGATATTTAGCAACATTCCTGGCCTCCACCTACTGGATGCCAGCAGCTCCCCCACCCCAAGTTGTGACAATTTAAAATGTCTTCAGACTTTGCCAATGTCTCCTGGCAGGCAAATTGTCCCTGGATGAGAACCAGAAGTCTAGGAGATACACTCACATAGAGGAGACTCTGGGGGATGTGTGTGTGTGTATGTGTGTGTGCACGCATGTGTGCGTTCATGTGTGTGTGTGTGAAGAAATGTCTTTTTTATTAGAAGCTAATCACTCACAAATCAAGTGAAGAATAAAGCACAGATGGTTAAACTACCTTAATTCCCTCTCCTGCTTCTCTCCCAGCCCATCCACCATGTGTGTGCATTTTAACACACACTTTTACAAAACTTCCCACAAACACCTTGGGGAGAGCATTCTCTAGAGACCCATCAATTCCATGATGTGTTGTTAGCTATATCTAGCATTTCCCAGTGATGCTCATTCATTCATTCATTCATTTCATAAATTAAACATACACAGGGGGCTTCCACTATGTGTTAGACATTATGTTAACATTGGGGACAAGACAGATAAGGACATGGAGCTTACAATCTAGTGGGAGGGGACAGAAAATAAGTAACTAATGCACAAATGAGATAAGACCTAGGAAATAACATGGGCGATGGCATAGGGAAGTAACTGAGGATGAGAAGAGCTATATCAATTCAAGTGATCAGGGAAGACTGGTGTGGTGAGGTGATGTTTAGGCTGAGGTGCTCCAAGTGAAGTTCCTGGGGAGGATGATTGTGGCACAAACTGGTTCAGGCCATTGACTATCCCAGGTTCAGAACTTAATACTATAGCTTTGTCTTGCTGCTGTCCTAAAGAGCTGCTCTTGGCTGTGAATATGTGACTACTAAGAGAAGTAGTTCTCAAATTCTTAGAGAATTGGTAAAAGTTTTGGACTCTCTCAACAGAAAGGTATGAACCCATGTGCTTGGGAATACTTACAATTCCAGGGGGTTAATGACACTTTAAATGAAGTTTTTTTCTAGATTATTGATTTAGAACCCCAACTGCAAAGATTAGTCACAGCCTTCATGGCTGATGTGAATTCCTGGTGTGGATTTGTGGAAAGGAGCTGGGGAAGAATGGAGGATTACTTGCTACTCACTTCAGGTGGATTGGTAGTGCAGTAGGTGAGATAACTGCTCCCAGTGCTCCACTCTCCCTAGTAGTGGTGTCTAGCCACACCCTTGCTACAGTCTTATGGTGGGCAGAATGTACCTTCTCACTCTTGACATTGGCCTTGCGACTTTATTGGGCCACTACTGGGGCGTTGCATTTGTGCGGTTGGGCTTTCCCTCTGCGTTTCTGCCACCACCTGAAAAGAGCATACCCTAGGTGCCTGCTGCCCTTTCAGCCTGGTCTCAGGATGAGGCTGGATCCACACCCGTTTGTCCCACAACTTCAAGCAGAACCACCCAAGGGAACCAATTCTAGGTCAGATGAACACAGGCAGCCTGTACATCTATGTACGTGAAATTGAAGGAGAGTGGGAAGGCACTGAGTTTGGGGCGGGTGTGTTACACAGCATCTTTGTGGCAAGAACTCCTATCACAGGTTTACATGTAACAACCATATACATCACCAGAAACATATGAAGCATCTGTGGAGTTCTGAACTTAAATGGTGCCTATAAATGGCCCAAGGGATCTCACATGAGCACAACTGTCAGATTTAAGTCATCTTCATTTCATAATGCTGGAATAATGTCTGCACTTTTTGTATTCCTTGTAAAATTTCTATTGCACAAATTACAGGATGAAAAAAATAAAGTGGGAGAGAAAAGTGTGGGGGTGAAAGAGAGATCAAAGTGGTTCTATACTGCAGAAAGTTTGGAGAGGCTAAGGCCCGAGATAAAAGCTTTGGCTACTGTGGAAAAGGGAAGAACATGCATAAAAAGGGAAATTGAACTAATATGTTTTGAGTGCCATATACCATGCCAGATGCTTTACATATGGTGCTTGACTGAATTCTGTTTAAAAACAACAAATAAACCAATAAATTCTTATATTACATCATTTCACAGATGGAAAAACTGAAGCTCAGAAAGTTTAAATAAATTTTTCTTGGTCACTCTGATGTGGAGCCTAGGTTTCAACTCTAGCTCTTGTCTTCAAAAGTCGTTCTCTGCCCACGAGTTGATATCATTTCCCTGTGAGAATGAGCAGCTTAGCGTTTTGTTTGGGGCAGAGTACACACCAAATTTCATGGGGCTAAGAAGGGACAGGGTGGTATAGATGTAAACTATTCTTAGAGTTGAAACCCTTGAAGGGGAAGAGAAAGATAGTGGGTGGATGGTAGTTTGAGCACATAGGCACTGAAATTCAGATTTAATTAACTGAGCATATCCAAAAATACTGAATTGTTACAGTAACTACCTTCAGATGTGACACTGAGTTACTGATTACTTTCTTTTCTATTTTGATCTATACACCTGCCTTATCCCTCAGACTTGAAGACAAGGGTCATTAACTTTTCTTAAATAGGCAATATGTGCACAGGGTAACAATCAGATAGTATAATAAGCTGTAGTGAAAAATAAGCCTCCCTTCTCCTCTGTCCCCAAGTTTCACATCTTGAGTTAACCACTATTATCAGGTAAGGGGGATTTTAAACTTTTCACGTAAGTTTGAGAACTTAGAAGCCTTGTTACTTTAAAGAATCCACTGTACCTGTCTAAGCCTCATTCATGCATTAGCTAAACACATACTTAGTACGTGTCTATTAGGGGCCAGGACTTAGTTTTCCCGTCTGTATTGGTTTCCTATTAACACAACAAATTACTATACACTTAGTGGCTTAAAGCAACAAAAATTCATTATCTTCCAGTTCTAGAGGTCACAAGTCTGAAATGAATGGGCAGGGCTGGGTTCTGTCTGAAGCTGTAGGGGAGAACATTTCATTGCATTTTCTGAATTCTAGAAGCCACCTGCTTCCCTTGACTCCTGGTCCCCTCCTTCATCTTCAAAGCCAGCAGCACAGCATCTTCAAATTGATCTTATTTGACCCAGACTCTCTTGACTTCCTGTTTCCCTTGTGATTAGATTGGGCCAACCTGGATAATCGAGGATAATTTCCCCATTTCAGGGTTTTTAATTTAACTACATCTTCATGATCTCTTCTGCCATATAAAATAACATATTTACAGATTCCAGGAATTAGGATGTGGACAACTTTGTGAGGCCATTACTCAGTCTACCACACCATTTAAAATTGAAATAATTTATATGTCCATGCTTTGTTTTAAACGGTATCTCCTAAATAAGTCACAATCCATCCAAATTTTCTCTATTCCACTGACAACACATAGATGTGCCTTTCATGATCTTTGTCTCAGGTCAATGCAAAGCCTTTTCAACAGGCTCCCCTGACACCTAGATCACCCCTCCCATGAATTATTTACACTGCAGCCAGGTGAGCCTTTTCTAAACATCCATTTTTTTTCCATGCAATTCCCTTCTAAAAATATCTCAGTGGTACCCTACAGAGCTCAATCTGATGCAATACCTACTTTGCTTAGTTAATGAGACTTTTCTTAATGTAGCAACTGCTCCCTTGTAGTCACCCTGAACTTCTTCAAGTTCCTTAGATTCAGTCCCTAGGCTTTTACACATGTTTTTACTCACCTTCCACATCTCAGCTTAGGTGTTACCCTCTTGGGGAAGGCATTCCTGCTTCCCAGCAGCTAGACTAGATTAGATGCCTGCCTCTGTGGCCCAACAGTAATTCTGCATCCCCTATTACAACCCTTATTGTACTGAATAGATGTTCTTGCTTACCTGTGGTGTTTAATAAATATTTGTTGCCTTAGTTACTGCATGAATAAATGAATGAATGAACCATACTGTCACTGTACAAACAGGCACTATTTTGGTCTCCACACACCCTGATATTTATTATCAACCTTGATTCTCTGAGAGCAAGGTATATTTTGGGAAGACAGTCACTGCTATAGAGGGCTGTGAGTATCAGCTTCTCATAAAAAGACGTCAATATATAGGTATCTGGCATGTATTTTTTTGGAGGGAGGTTGTGTCCCAGGGCCTTTTAACTGAGCTTTTAGATTTGAAGCCCTGCCATCCTCTCCAGACAGATCAATTAGGAAGAGCTGGAAATCATCACTAGCTGGAAGTGTAAGAGTTCAACAAGAAGTGTTTGCCACCATAGACTTTTCTACAGATATGCTGTGTATTCACAAGGTTTTTATGGTCCGGCATTCAGAGACTGGTGTTCTCTGCACCAACATGCATTCTATCTTCCTTAACTTTCCACTTCCATGGAATATTCCTGGTCATCCTGAAAGCAAGGTACAAGGTTTCATGAGATAAAATTTTCCAGAGAAGCGAAGAGAGTGAAACTGGGGAGTCTGGCAGGAGGACCCCTTCTTCCTGCTCCCGGACATTCCAGGGAAGGCAGTGAACCACACATGAGCTTGTTTTGCTGGAAACAGCAGGCCCAGCACAATGTGGTGCCATCTCTCTGGGGTTGGGGGGGGCGGGTTGCAGCTTACAAGATTCCACTATTCTAATGCCAACCTGGCAGCCAAAAT